GCTCGCTGCCAACAGAATCAATGGTTTCCTGCTCACCTGGTTGAAAGACCACCTACACGACAGAGCAAAACCAAGGTAGGAGTAGCCGACACTCATTCTGAAAGCCTGTGGGTCTCCCGTGGTGTACCGCAAGAACTCGTCCTCGGTCCGCTACTGCTTTTAGTCTACATTAATGACCTCCCAACTGGCATTCTATCCCCAATGAGAATATTCGTAAACGATGCTAAAATATGGTGAGCAATTCGCTCAGCATTCGACCGTGTCTTTCTTCAGGATGATCTGGCTCGGATTAACGAATGGGCAGAAACGAACCAGCTCCCACTGAAGTCTGCATAATGACACCTGCCGACGGTGCGCAGCAGCTTCGTCAACACGTACCTATTGGGGTAACACGTCCTGCAACACGTGAGTATTGAACGCGACTTAGGTATGATCGTGCAAGGAAGTCTCGCCAATTCGCTCCAACGTTCGGAAGCAGCAAATGTGACGAAGTTGAACATGAGGGTTTTGAGGCGAACTCTCGGCACCTTGGAGCGACGGCTAGTACCACTGCTGATTAACTCCTATATTCGCCCTCACGTTGAATATGCAATTCAGGCCTGGTGTCCATGGTTAAAACGAGACATTCGCCTATTGGAACAACCCCAAAGAAGAGTCAGAAAGGCAACGCGTGGACTATCCGGTCTAAGTTACGGACTGCGTCTGCGTGTACTCGGTGTGTTCTCATTAGAATACTGACGGCTTCGCGAAGATCTTATTCTCACATACCGGATACTAACTGAAAGCGAGCATCCATGTACATCACTGTTAACTCTAGCTCCTTACAAACACTGCCAAGACAACCACCTGAAACTAATGACGCAACACTCCCTCTCTGAAGTGTAGAAATTGATTTTACTCAGTTGGAATCTGTTCCCACTGGAATGCACTACCAAAGCGAGTGGTGGATGCAACAGAGATGACGACATTCGGAAGACTCTTAGACTTTCATCTTCGTGATAAACGCTACACAACAGTTTGATAAAGTGCAATGACTTAACTACTGATATTCCAAGTTCCAGGATGGAACATTTGATTTTTTGTTTTGCATATCCATCCTGAAAGGGCCTTGTAAAGTTACGTATTTTTATCCAAGCATACACTACTGAATTATTGAATTAGGTTCCAAAATGTCCAGTGTAACTTTTGAGCCAATGAATAAGAGAAAATGAACCGTCGGTTGTGGTTGTCGCTGAATGTACGGCTAATCTGCTTCTACCGCGCAGCTGGCCGTTGCCAGATATCTGTTGTGGGTTCCCACTGTGTACGCTTTCTCCCTGTAACACTTCCCTTGCGGAAACTGACGTACGACTTCGGTGTTGGATCCAGCTATATTCTGATGACGGGTCTCCGTACCGGATCAGAGCAGCGTCTTGATTACATAATCAGCTCTTCTGGGACGATCGTGCAAGGTGCTTCAGGAGCGTTCCGTATACTAACTGGCATATCGAAACTGTCCATCAGGATATCCAGCGGTAGCGGCCGACTGCTAGTGCTTATCGATATGCTAATTGGCCGAAGCTGATTAGCGTGCCTAGCCCAAATGTGGTCCCCCACGTTAAACTTATATAGGACACGTCCAAATCTGCTTTGGATCAGACTTGTCGCCCATCTTGGTCTTTTCGTACGGTAGTCTCTAACCAAAACTTTCTGTCCTGTGTATAATCGGCGTGCTTGTGTCCTATTTCGTTGATTATAGTAGTCCTCCATTCTCAGGTTTCTTTCTTGCGGGGTATCGTGTTTCGGAAGCAATAAGCGTTCATTGTGGGAAGCGTTAGTCCCATTAACGCTTCTGCTAGTGGTAAGTGACTAGAGAAATGGGGATTCTGTGTCATTATGTACGCATCCAATATCTCATGAGTGGTTACCTCTCCCCACATTTTCAGCAAAGCTCGCTGTAAGGTATCGACAAAGTGTTCTGCTTGTCTGTTAGACTGTAGATGGAACGGTGGCGAGCGTACATGGGTAATATCATTCTGAGCGTAGTACTCGGCAAAACAGGAAGAAGTGAACTGTGACCCGTTGTCTGTGATTAGCATCTCTGGCACTCCAAGTTGGCTGAAAAGTTTCCTCAGTACGTTCATTGTTGCGTCACTGGTCACATGCTCATTAGGTCCCTTCTGGGTTTCAGAGTGAGTGGTTCACCGGGTGGAGAAGACCAGTTCTCTCTAAGTGATCAAACTCCAGGTCAAACACTGGTGTAGCTGCGTAAGGCATAGGGGGCCTCGTGCGAAACACTGGAACGGCATCGGGCTTAAGGGACAGTGAAGCTTGTACCTTTGTGCACTTACCGAGGCCTTCCCGAAAGACTGCTGTATAGCACTCTCGCAGGCGCTCAATGGCCACTGTTTTGGGGGTTGTTGGATTGTGTATCTGGACAGTTGCACAGTTGCAGACCCCAGCATTTCGGTCCGCAGGTGATTTCTTCGTTTAGAGACAAAGGGTCTCTTGGGGCGTTTTGACCCCTGCGGAATGCGGCAATAATCGAAATGGGGGGCTTCTGATTCGGCACGTTTTGATTCACATTCTGCCGTCCATTAGCTGTGTGGCGGATCTGCAGTTCACATCTGGTATTTGAATTTTAACCTTTTTTGGTGTCTAATCCCAAATTGGGCTTCTTGTAACACTCAGCTGTAATGTCCTCTGATGTCAGCTCTGGTTCCAGTTCACATACTGCTTGAATGTTCAAGTTCTGTACCGGCAACTGTCAATTGCCGCCGTGATTCTTCAAACTAACGGAGCGTCCGCATTATTCTGAAGAGATCGCTGTAACCTGGTGCGACAGTGTTCTTGTGAGGGTCTCCATCATTCGCAACTGTGAAAGCACGAACTGCTGCTGCTGTTGTTGTAGCAAAATAGTCTTCAGGTCTTCTGCTGAGATAACCATTTTGGTTAAGTTTACCGCCATCTCCAGAAATATGTTGTAGTTGCCGCTGAGTGTAGGGCTAACCTGCTGGTACTGCGCAGCTGACCGTCGCCAGAAATATGTTGCGGGTTCCCGCTGAGTGTATGCAATCTCCTTGTAACACTGTTCATCTTTCCCAGACCTTTTCTGATCCACAGGGCCGCAAACGCACCGGGAGAATTTCGGTCCGGTGACGTTTCTGAGTGTGGTAGACATTTTGGAATCCATTACCCGCCAGAATGAATTGCAGCGGTTCGTCAGTTAAAGTAATCGACTACTGCAAGGTGTACTCACATCCGATAGGCACCACACGAGACAGACATGTAGTTTTCGATAAAATGCTCGCAACACCATGGACGCACTCGTAATCAGGAGTTTCCAGATAATTCAATCGGTTGGTAAAAGAGGAAAAGGATGCGAATAAGTAACTTTAACCAGTTTCTGATGGCGCGCCCAGCCATATTCCGAAAGGGTGCACCGTAGTGATATCCGAAAAGTGGAGATGTGTCGTGCATTTGCTAAAACAACTTGGCGACCTGTCCTTCCGTATTGGCCGGTACTGTCCCAGTTCCGGATCAGCACAAATCCACTAGCATTGGTGAATGGGGGGATAAATGCAGACAAAATGTCGCGTGCCGAAGCTGACGACAGAAGCAATTACAGTGTAAACGGTCAGAAGATGTGTTATCTTAAACGAAAAAGCAGATTCCGACGATGTCAGGAAATTCAATTAGTCGTCCTTTAGTCCGCACATACATGAGTAACGCCGTAGCAACCCGATCAGTTATGTTCAGAACGAATGAACAAGATGATCTGAAAACAACCAGAGTTGCAGGTGCAGCAACGCTGGAAAACTGCTGATGTTCAAAGCCCTTTTCGATGTGCCGGTAGAGTCGAGTCATGAAAGTGATAAACCAAGAAAAGAGGGAAAAGGTGCAGGGTTGAGGGAAGTGGTCGCGTAGTACAACCAGATCGGATGAGTAGAAATGACGCTTGAAAGGAGGATTGAGGGGCGTAGACTAATTGAACCGAAGATGTTGCAAACATTACCCAAAAATTACGATGGGATGAAGTAGAACGGTTCCACTGCAGAAGATAAAATTATACTCAACACACCCTCATCAATAAAGAGCATAGGAAGCGGACACAGAGAAAATGGTTGGGGACTGTGGTTACCCACGTTCCACTGCATAACCTTTCACCCTGAAGGCAGAATTGTGCGGCTAATCAAGTGAGGAATCCACAAATCAAACTGAAAGAGTTGCCTGACACATGCAAGGTGGAATTGGATTGGGAGTGCGAATGAACATGTGTGGGTGTAAAATACTCCGCTAACCTGATGTGCAGTAGAATGGTTCAACTCATCCATAGGCTCTCCAGAGGCTAAGTCGTGGATACCTAGAGAACAAAAGAAAAATTTTTAACAATAAAACGTGCGTATGTTAAAGACTCTAGAAGCGTTAATTACTTTCGTACCACAAACGAACATGCCGAAAGACGTAAGCTCAGGACCGGACACAGGTTAAAGTGAAGACCGGTCGCTTTGGTATAACTATGGAGGACCAAGAGGAGCATCATGAATGGAAACGAACGAAAAACCCAGTCTTTATTTTGAAGCATTCGACGAGTGAATGGATACCGGTGCGAAATCCCAATCTCGGAAGCGATTTACTCTGAAGGGGATGTCGGTTAGGATATTGGGACCGCATCTGAAGCAGATGTATGTGAGGTTTTGACTGCTGCAAAACTGCACTCGCCGACCGACTTCGTACCTGTTTGCACACGTCAGTGAGGGAAGACAAGACTGCGACGCGAAAGCAGGGAGTGAGGACTATCAAGAGAAGCCATTACTCCTAAGCTATCGAGGAGCGAGCAACGATTATCACAACGGTTAATGACTTCCTGGATGGGTTATTTCAAAGCATACGTTGTGTGAGTGGACTGTGACACTAAATCCCACTCAGGACACTTAACATCGCTTTGAAGCGGAGTTAGATCAATTCGGTAGACGTGCAAGAAAATAGTTAAAGCAAATCGGCGGCCGGATAAGAACACGAAGCAATGAGAACAGCAAATGGTCGATGGCGACAGAAGGCCTAAATATTTGACATGATCTCATGGAACCAATGAAAAAACAACCGGCTTGGTAAATGAATGATCGAAATAGAAGAACAAGTCAGTTAATGTTCCGTGGAAAACCAAAGCACAGGAAATGAAGAATGAATGAGGAAAACATGAATATGTAAGCAGAAATAGGCTGAGCGAGCAAGTTAAGAAAGGGGGAAAATATTGGTAGAACTCAATTTACTCGAGATAAGGTCAAATCGTACTGGCGTATCTGAAACACGAGTAAACTGACTGGAAAGACCTAGGGCTGTTGTCGACCTGGTGTGGTATGGCCACAGTCTAACAGTGAGAATCATAGACGATCAGATGCACTAGGAAGCAGAGCAAAATGGATGGAAGCAATCTGCCTACTTGGAGACGATGTTACGATTGAATGCGGTGTGGAGGAGACCAGAAAGATTGTTGGGAATGCTGGAACATGGCTGGAACATAAAGTACGTCCAGAATCCATTCGAGCAGACTTGGTCGCCTAACTGACACAGCCACTGCCGCACGGATAATGGTCTTCGGCTCAACAAATGCTACAAAGGGGACGGATACGATGAATAAACACCGTAGATAGGCCAGTAGGTTTCGGTGACCGTCCGTTGAAGATGAAAGCGATTGAGTTCATTGCTAGCGGTTGATCACTGTCCCATAATCTCGTGTTCCAACACGAGTCCATAACGGGGACCAACATGATAGATATCCATCCCGTCCCGTCCCCATCATCGATCCCAAATTTGCGTAGGAGGTGCGGAAGTAATCAAAGCGAAGCGCATAACGACAATTCTCACAGGAGAAATGCTACCAAGTTTGTCTGAGAACCTCAATGAATGCATGAAAATTGTGATTTTAGTTCTCCGATAAAAATAAATCTGAGCTGCACCTTGTAGCCAAAAACAGTGATTTTGAAACAATAATGAGGGTTACAAGGGTGGAAAAAGCGCCAAGCGAAAAAAGTTCGTGATGCCTCCAGCGAAAGAAAATTAGGATACTGATGGCGTTGTGTAACCTAAGATACTGACAAAGATCATGCTTTTGGGGCTAGGTATTGTAACATACTGTAAAACATTTAAGGTAGAAAAATGCCATCCGGACAGAAGTAGTAAAGAGCGTAAAGGTTCCGTTCTACAGAGAGAAATACAACTGTTTTTATGGCTGACAGGAGAAAAGACGGTTGGCACCAAAGAGAACTTGAGTGAGCAAATAATGAAAACTGAGAAAAGTCGTCAAAGCGAAGTCTCAAAAGAAAAGCCTAAAATAGAGCGCGATTGAGCCTAAACGAAGGAAGCTTCGGTCGCAAAGCACAAGCGTCTCTAGAGGTGACTAAAGAGACACGGAAGAGGAACACGATCACAGTATATTAGTTTCCTTCCGCAGTAAAAAAGCGACAACCTCACATGGGTATAGATGACCACCGATAGGACACGCACTAAGGTATTAAACAGGGTGTACAAAAAGTAAGCGCCAACCTGAGGCACTTCCGCGTGATATACGGTTTTCTGATGCCGACGGAGACGGCAAGTGTTCGGCCTCGTTTTGCGATGATGGATTTTCGGTCACCATGAAAGCTGCAGTCGTGGAGTACACTAGAGCTGGGAACAGTGGTTGATTTCTTTCGTGAGCCATTTCAACTAACATGCGAAGAGGTCCCCGTGGACACAAAACGGCAATCAGGTCTAGAGGAAACACAGAAGGTGAATAGGTAGAGTGTAGGCAAGAAAGCACCGAAATTACTTGATATAAACCTACGAGGCAGTCTCCGCAGAAAATTATCGCATAATGATGCTGTTGAAATTGGAATAGTTCATCGGTAGTCGCTTGGGGAGTATGGAGTTCGAAACCGATAGCGAGGCATTCACGCAAGTACATGGATAGAAATCTGAGTACATCACATTAGTTTGCGGAAACCAGATAGAACTCAATTATGGCAGTGAGGTTTGTTTACCGCTCAGTTCTATTGGGCTATGTTGGATGAGGGTCTTTGACGATTTGGCTGGTGGTTAACGACTCACACCACATAACCATGTTCCCTCAGGCAAAGAGTTGGAATAAAAGTGGCGCTCATTTACGTACACCTATCTCATCAGATGAAACATCCTATTCCTGCTACCCTGAGGTTGGAATTCTAAACCAATACCTATGGCTGAAGATCCTCAAAACTATCTTAACTAGGGATGAATAACATAACCATACTGGATCCAAAGTACAACTGTGATATCGCATTAAGCTTCTGCCTCATCCGGCATCGGTCCTCGCACTGTTTCAAAAGGGTCACCTGCATACAGAAGAATAAACGGGCTTACCATCTTCAAGCTTTACCTGTTTCCATCACAAGCACTAACTCTCATTTGTAGTTCTAAAAGCAGCTCATGATGATTACAGTTTTGCTCCAGATCCTAGAGCTGTAACATCACAGCATCCATCAGTTTCCCACTAACGAGAACTCTGTATCGGGCTACGCTGCAGCGGTTTATTTGGTGGCACACCCCAAAGAGAAGGTAACAGCGCGTAATTGTTAGCCCAAAGTTGCTTAACATATAAGGCTAAACAAACAAGTTTTTCTGTGCGTGGTAAAGGGCTCATTTTGGAACATCCGTAGGGGTTTGAGCGGGCGTTAATCTACCATCGAACTTTAGCGGGAGGCAGAAAAAACAAAGTTCCCGATTGGTAACCGAGAGATTATCTTTATGGCAGTTAGGCAAACCAACCAGTATGTCTTGTGCAAAAAAACTTTCATCTAATGACTATGAGGCCCTGACGTTTCAGTGTAGCGATGCATGGCGCGAGAAACTGTAATTGTGTTAATATCGGTCATAATAGCAATAAATATCCGGAAGATTACTGAACCTATTAAGTTCAGAATGTGAATGTAAACTGATATCGAGGACCATGAGACCAAAAAGGCTATCAATCACGACGTGCGATAGAGCTCGGTCGATGGTGTAGACAGCTTAGCAAATGGATGCTGTAGGAGTCAGGATCATTTATGTGCCCGTACCACTGGCTCCGGGAACGCACGCGCCACTGATGCAATGCGGGATGATAATTGTGTACCGGTTCAATTATAAGAGAATTCCTCAGGTCTGTCTAGCGAAGCACTTTCAGGAGCAGTTCAGTTGGCGCGGTACTCATGAACCGCTCCGTTGGCAGGCCGTACCGACTGAACCATGGCCGATCAGTGTGTATGCCTTATCAAAGTAGCTGTTGCAATGTGATCAACGCCCCAACCGTTTTCTCGCTGTCGATCCAGATGTGTTGAGTTCGCGCTATTTAGATATGTGCGCGGAGCTCTTTGCCCTGTGTGAATAGCAGAAACATACAAAAATGGCAATCAAGTCGTTTGTGATAACCACAGGAGTATCAATGCAATGCTACCGGTGACAAACTTGTTGGCTTCGATTCTTATCTATCGCGTTACGGTGGAACGAGAATCACAGCTTAGGGAACAGTGGGTAGTTTTCCATCCGGGATGGAGCTGCATGGGCCATATTTTCATTGAGGAACTACAAGAACAGCGTCATATGTACCGCGTACTGGTTACGACGCTGCTCCTCGATTTCAACAGTGCGACCAACTCAGTACATACTATGAACCACACGAATAGTCTAGGTGCCCTGTACTCCAACACTACAGCTTGCACTAGTTTACGGTGAAATGCTGAATGCCTTTCTGGCAACAACTGATGTTCGCTAGGAGTGGTGATTTTCCCTATTATTGTTCAACTGCTTCATGGATCCCCCTATGAAGTGCTCCCCTGCGGAACCCGGCGAAGTGGGCATTAAAATGCTGTCTGTTGGATAACTGAACGAGGTCAATTATGCGTACGAGATATTTTTGTTTCTGGATGTCCACGATGCGTCTGCCAACCCTTGATAAATCCACTGGAGCGGTCCCATCTTTCAGCACGTGCTTCGCGATTTCGGAATTGAAAATGCTGTTGTTGCAGGATCCCGAGCTACTTGATAAACCCCTGTCCAATGAGGACGACGAACTGGAAACAGTCGAGCAATTCAGCTATCGTAGCAGTTGGACTTGCAGCCATGGATATATAACCAGTGAGGTTAAGTCATATAAGATGAAAGCCAGAACTGACTCCACGAACACCTCATGACATCGGGATCAGAGGCGAATTTCTTTCGACCATACAATCCGTGTCCGAAGAGTCGCAAGCATGAGATTTACGCCTACGGGAAGGAAACGGGTATTCTTTACTCTGCAGATATCAAATGCCTTCCGGTGTTTGATGGCGGTTACCCACGAAAAGGTGCTCGTGTTGGGTAGCAACAGTATGTCCACAAAGATGAGGCGCAGGTGAGTAACAAGAGGTGATGAACAGATCGGTTCCGTAGATCGACTACTACGACCGAATAGCCGAAATTAGTTTGGACGCGTGCTACCTGGCGACCGCTCACTGAGTAGGGTAGCGCTTCACTTACTGGACTTAGCGTTAGGTTGGTAACGGGGAAAAAGGCTGTAGACAATTAAACCGGGAGTTCATGCAGCCTACTTTGTGCTCTGAACGGGACGGTTCAAGACCCTTAACAGGGATATTTTTGCTGCCGTCTCTCAGCAGGGCTGCATGTTTAACGAGTGCAGGGTGCTGAGATATCTGAGATTGAAGTTCACTGTGATGCGGGTAATGGAAGGTGTGTGATGCCTGTTGTGTGGATGACACCGTTTCCTATGGCTTTAAGCTGTTGGTAATGTACATGCGTCTTGATAAGCAATATCCGTGTACCGTGGTTGAATCTGCCCATTCAGTCTTTTCGCATTCTCCCGTTTTATAGGTGTCTGTGTCTGTATCCTGATGAGGTCATATGAGAGAACCAGTAAGCGAAGGATCGCAACTTGTTCAGTCACGATTCGTGCCGTGAGATGAAAAACCGAGAGGGAGGAACAAACAAATGAAGCTTGTTGATTTGTGTCTTTATAGAGATGAAGGCTGATTGCACAGGTTTCACAACACGTGCTTCACGAAATTCAAAACGTTAGATTTGTTAGTCGCCTCCTGATCAGTTGTGCGAAATGCGGAGGATCGAAAATGTCTTGGGGAAGCCGGTTTATACAAACAAAGGAACGCATCGATAAAATTGTGAGTTAACCTAAAAATAAAACGATGCCAACGGAGATGAAAAGAACTTTGGACAGGTAGTGAAGTAATCAGTTCGAGAGCGTTTCTATCTATAGGACAAAACGAACGCAGTACTTCAGTGCGGAAAATGCGCAGATACGAGGAAACAAACCCACGGTGTGCGCGTGAGAAGGGCGGTGAACGTTTGACGAAAAAGAGATGTGGGAAGTGGTCCTCGTTCAGAACACAGTGGACGAAGACCACGGGAAAAGATATCGCGTGGTTAGCAAATGGAATGCAGTCGCAGCTAAACGAAAGAAATTTACCGGAATTCGCATTTTTGGTTTAAAACATCAATCACCAGTTGTTTACTGTTTAGCATCTGTAGTGCGCCGGGTTTCAAAGTGAACATTTTGGCAACTAAGAGGAATAAAAGTTGGGGTGAAACAAGTCTGCATAGATGATACCCCATAACAGCGAATAAGCATTCATCTGTACGTGGTAGGGGCTATGGTTGGTGACGACAGTGTTTCACAGGAAGGTTCTATGTGAGCAAACAAGTAACAGACGAGATACTGGTAGTTTGCATTCTCCATTAAGTTGTGTGGAAGATAGCCTGCCATTTAGACGCATAATCATATTCAGGAGAGTGACAGCGGTAGCCTCGACGAATACACAAGCGGAACGTAATAAAAATAGTGGGAGCAGGGGAGTAGAGGCAAAGCAAATCAAGTACAAGCGCTTATTCGATAAGAAATGGTCCACAAAACACACACTGGTTTGCATTCTACCTCCACAACACAACTGGCTGTAATGAGAGTTGATCAATGACACTTTAACTGTCCCGGTAAGTAAAGGAGAGCAAGTAGGCATAATTCCGTCCGGGGGGGGGGGGGTTCAACTCCAGTGTCACTGAAAATCATCGCTCTAACGCCTGATCAAATGAAGCTGGGTGATCGAGGGCCTCAAATGCATCCGTGTTCCTATCCCAAGAAGGCCAACTAAAATTAGCGACAGTTACCTCTGTTGCTTACGAATGTAACAATCCCAGAAGACTTTCATCCATAGCGCCAGTTAAGTTGTCATAATGGTGAGGACCTATGGGTGGAAGCTGACCACTGCTGGTGCCCTTTCTGATCCACAACATCTTCCGTGAAGGAATACCCGGCGGCAACAATTATGTGTATTTAAGTCATACATGTGCAATTGCTGTACCCAAGTCTCTGAGGCATGAGAACGCAAGACAGGCGTTCCAGTCGTAGTGATATCCTTGTGGTGCACCCAACAATCGCTATACTAATAGATAAGTGAAAAACCTAATACACGAGTTGGCGGAGCACAGCGGTTGTTCGAGAAAACGATCAGTTTGGGCTTCAAGGTGGACATAAGAGAATACCAGTGCTACATGTGTAATCGAACAGACAGACGTGTGATCGATACGCACAAAGGCTAATTCAAGACACAACATGAATCCAAGCACATCGGTCATGAACCGCTGAAGCTCCAATAGAGAACTGAAGAATGAACAATGGTTAAACGAGAGGGAGATGGGATACGAGAAGAGTAAATACTATCAGTGGTGGCGAACAATGGCGATAAGCAGTAGAGTCATAAACAGGGAAAATGGAGCCACCGGCGTTTACAGAGTATGGGGGAAAACGTCGCCCAGAGGTGGTGCATACGGTACGATCATTACGGAGTACGGATGCCAGCACATTGGAAATGATGGCTGGCTCATACAGCCCCGACCATGTCAGGTGGGACCGTCGACTGAGTTAGTGATAGGAAGTGGGAACCTTCATTAGAATGGTTGAGTACTACACAACATTGTGGGCTGAGCCCCTCGTAAAATTCATTGAGCACCAACGTCGTCCCATTTGACCAGAATCCGGTGGTTTCCTCGGGAGATGGAGAAGGGGGTTGGTGAAAACGTGGCAAAAAGGCAAGTAAAAGGTGATGAAAATCGTCTTCTTTGGCAGAAATCATAAGTGATCAACAGATCGGGTTGATATAACAGAACCAATGGAACAGCGGCGTTACCGAATTCAATCTCCGGTTTAAAACTGCAATAAATCAGAGTTTTCGCTTTATTCCCCTCTATCTAGTCACCGCTGTTAGCATTACTGCCGACCCATCCCTCAATGATACTTGGAAGTACATTGACAAACTCAAGCAATCCGAATGAGTCCCATTCAGGACTAGTGAACAGACAAGCGGATGTAAGCAAAACGAT